AAAAAAAAAAAAAGATACGAGCCGAGCGCGAGCAAAAGAAACAAGGATAACATATTATAAATATTTACGTGCGTGTATACAGATACGACGCACGTATACCTGTAGAGCGCAAGATTGCGTAATCTCGAAAACGCTGCTCCGAAAAAAAAAAACGCACGTACAGAGCGAGCCATTCATCGAGCCCCGGGTACTTATATATAGTGTACCCATACTGTTGCTGCTGCCTCTTCGAGCGTCGAAGCGTGACCGCGAGCAAACTATCGGCTTACCGGCGCTCCGGTGTCGTGATTATTCTTGCATCGATTGCCGTGAAACACACACACACAAACGGAGCTCTCCTTCCTCGCATGTCAATAGTCCCCGGGACGGCCGAGCGTTGTGTATCGTGTACAAAGGAGGAGAAGAACGGCGTACGTGCCTCTTCCTCGTGGGCCTTGCTTTACTTCTCCCGACGACGCAAAAACGGCCTCTTCGCTGCGCGATGGCGAAGGAAAAGAGAAGATGAAAAAAAGAAGAAAAAAAAAACAAACGAGCGCGCGCTTTGACTTAAATTTTGCGCCTCTCTCTCTCGCAGTCCCAAAGCCGTGGCTTTCTTTTCCCTGCTCGTGCGCGCGAGCTCGTTTTTTTTTTTCTTTTTCTTTTCACTCACCCAACCCAATGGCTCGTGCTGCAGATGTGCGTCCCCTTCGCGGTTGCGTATACTATATGCCAAAGTCGCCAGCTACTTTTTCCACGTTTCGACATAACGCGCGGCCTTTTGGAGGGCTCGGCGCGAGAGGAGCGTGTCGTAACTCCCCTTCCGATTGAGTTTCTTTTTGCAAGCTCGATTCGTAGGCTGCGCTTCCATCGAAGTGCTTGTCATATGCGCTATCGGCCGTTCGCAGCAACCCGTATTGGACTATAAATACGTGGTAAACAGGGAGATCAAAGAGAGGACTGTGCAAGAAAAAAAGCAAGCCAAGCATCGGGACTGCACGCACATTGGTATTGGGTGTCTACGAGTACTTAAAAGAAAAAAAAAAACAAAACAAAAAAAAAGATGTAGTGGGATGGTGATGCTGTACTTATAGGAAGAAGGAACTGTGATGGTGGTGCTCGTTGGGGAGTCTCGCTCTCTCTCCGTGTCAGCTTCAAGATGTCAAACACGTGTTGGGAGACTTGCCTCCAAGACTCCGAGCTGCCGATGTTTTCGTCGTCCTTAGCCAACGACGCTGTGTATTAGAACGTATTGCTAATAATGGCCAATTGCGTACATACCTCTGGATATTTGGAAAATTTTTACATATAGAGGCTGGAGTTTCAATAAATATGTGAATCACCCCAAAAATGAACTTTTTTTTTCTTATCTTTGAAGGGTTGTGAAAAATCTTACATAAAGTCTTATGAAAGAAATGAAAGAAGCCTTAGCTCTCTGTAGTAATTTAGTCTTTTGCAGGTGGAGAATAGTCTCTGATCAAAACAATTTGCTCTGCGATTTTTTTCCCCCTAGAAGGACGACATAATAAGAAGAAAGCTGTCTTTGCAATGAAATTATGATAATTTACTCGTGTTGTTTAAGTGCTTGTAGCACATTTTAACTCAAGCTCTAATGGAGGTGAAAATTTCATCAGGTCGAATTTAAGTGACAATAAAATACCTCGTGATTTCATGAACCATCGCAAAAATGATGCAAAAAATTACGATCGAACTTCAGTCACCGGATAAACATTTCAGACATTACCATACGTAGCTGATACGAGCACATTTTGTATTTGATCTCAGATTGTGATGCTTGAAAGAGCAGGAGGGAGAGAGAACATAAGTTGATTTTAATTACACGTCTAATCCTTAAATTGCGATTTTCCTTTAACTACGAACTAACAACTTACACCAGCTTCGTCAAATATAGTATACGTGAGCGTGTAGTACTGAGAACAGATTTTAAGATTCACTCATCCAATCGTTTAATATCATTTTTACTTATATATGCATTAGTTCTGTAACAATTGGGGAAAAAAAATCAGATTATCGGTAAGATAGTAACATTCGGGTACGTACTCTGAATACACTCCAAGTTATACACCTTTAGTAATTTTAGTAAACTCAAATTCAAGAGTTGGAAATTTAATTGATGCCCCGTCAAGTATCTTAGAGGTACAAGATTTCTTACAATAATTTCGTCCACAAATCAAGTTTACCGGTATTGATATTTCATGAGATTGATTATTTTTGTCATATAAATATTTGCACAAAAATTGTAGTGCAATTAAATTTTTAGCGATTTAGCTGTTGAAAATTCGTTCATTCAAGTATTAGGTAAAATAAATAAAAGTTTGTCTTCAAAAATATAATTTTTATTTCCAATATACGTTTCATAAACATTAAAATGAGCAAATAAAGTAGTTTCAGATCAAGGATTGCATTAGCCAAAACTACATATAAACAAAAATAAAATAAAAATAATTAAATAAAAAACAGAATACAGACATTAAAAAATTTTAATGGATATTTCTACATTTAAACAAACCGGTTGACACAAAGTTTTTTAGATTTATTTTTAAACGGCTCTTTTGCTGATTGCTTGGCACCATTAAATCTCATTAATTTGAATTGCTGTAATTTAACTGAAAAACTCGATAACTGCGACTTGTCTTACAGTGTGCTTAAAAGTATTTTTCGTTTCATCGGATCTCTGATCGCTCGTCTACTCATCTTCGTCTTCTCTCCATCTTTATCCTTATTACTGCTTTTGTCCTTCTCCTTGTATTTATCCCTAGCCAGTTCTTTTTCCCCGTTATCCTCCTGCTTTATTTCTGTTCCTTTTCATGTTCTTTGTCAGGTATAGAACTCTTCTTCCTCTTCTCGTCCCTTTCTTGTGGCGAGTCGTTTCTGTACCTCTTGCTTGATGTCACTGATGATCTGGAATACGATGACGACGACGAGGATGACCGATACTTGGGGTGTCCTGAGCCTCCGAATCTCGAGGTCGGCGACGGTGAGCGTCTGTACCTCACAGGACTTGGTGACAAGCGCCTATTGTGCTTCGGGGAAGGCGAGGGCGAGCGTCTGCGGTAGTGCACCGACGACGAAGCTCTCGAGTGGCTCGGCGAACGACGACGCACGCTGTGAGGCGAGGGTGACTTCTGCACTTTCTTGTGTCGCTCGATTAAATTGCGCAAGTCATCCTCCGAGCGTTTTCTTTGATTATCTGTCATGTACTTCAGCCTTTCCCTCAGATCTCTCTTTTGATTTTCTTTATTTACCCCGTTGTCATCGTCACCCTGGGCTTCACTTACTGTTGTTATCGACCTGCTGTTGCTACGACTGCGTGATCCATCTACTGGTTCTTCTTTTACTATGATTTTTTCCCGTTTGACTGTGACGTTGGGATGAGCCTCGTGTTGTTTGGCAGCTAAAAAGGACTGGTTCGACTTCATTGAAAACTCAGAGCCATCCACACTTCTGAAGCTAACTGTTGCAGGTGACGGTGAAGACCAACGGATGGGAGAAAAGGCCGCGGGTACGTGGACTGGCGTTTTCATGTTCTGAAATTCGTCAGAGGTCAGTTTGTCATTGGCTACAATCGGCACTACTTTTGGAGGCTGCATTATACATGGTTCTATGTCGTCAAAGTCGACGGGCTCGCTCTTGATTACGACACCTGATATATCAATCGGCGTGTTGCTTTCCACGGAAACAGTCTCACTCTTGATACTAACATAACTCGAATCAAGATCCATGGTTTCATTTTTTATGTTGGATAGCAGCGCAGGACTTGCGTCGTTCGAGCTGAGCTCGTCCTCTCTTCTAGGTGAGCGTGGCTCTAGTTTTACTCGCACACTATCTACAGAGACGTTTTGTTTTTGCAACGGTGGACTGTAAGGGTCTTTTTCTTGCTTTATAGCCGGTTTTCTCGATAGATCTGGATACTCTCTTTCCTGTTTAACACGTGGTTGTTCCGTTGGTACTGGCAAACGGTACGGATTTTTGTCCTGCTTCGCAGTCGGTTGTCTCGATAAATGTGGGTGATGTCTTCCGTGTTCAACAGACGGTTCTGTGGGTAGTGGTGGATAGTAAGGGTCTTTTTCTTGCTTTACAGTCACTGGTTGATTGTACAGTCGAGCCAACTGATCAGCAGACCATTCTTTTTCCTTTTTAATTTGTGACGGGTTGATTGTTGATTGAGCACTAGGCAAGGGTGCGCTCTCCTCATGAGTCCTTCTAGATTTTTCCTTATCAAATAGCTCTGTTTTAGGCTTCAAAAGTGACAACTTTTCTTTTTCAACTTTTTGATCAAATCGTTCTGTTTTCGGCTTAAGTGGCATTGTTCCCTCCAAAAAGTCAAATTCTGGTCTTTTTTGCCATGATGACGAAGTAGTAGCATTTGACGCCGAGTCATACCTTGATCTTCTTGAAGGTGGAGGAGGTCGACTACCAGATGACTTTTCCATTTTTGGCCCGATTGAGCCGTTATCTTTTGACCAAAATGAACCATCGGATCTTTCAGTTGGCAATGACAGACGGTCACGGGCTCGGCAATTATTTGGTACAGCACTTCTGTCGGAACTATTATGCGCATTAACTTCAAATTCCTCATTTTTAATGAATTTCCGGTCCTCTTTGTTGACATTGCATGTTGAACCAGTAGTTTGAATATACTGAACTGTCTTTTCAATGAGAGATGGTCTTTCAAATAAAACAGCAATGTCAAAGGCATCTTTCAAGGATGGAGATTTGTCAATAACACAGCCTCTCTTTGGCAAAAATCCTTGGCCCATGTCATCATCGGTACATATTAATGTAGTAATAAGTTTGTAAAAGTCTCTCGAAAATGTTCCATATATGACAACACTCCAAACTGTAGGTAATGCTCTTAGAGCTCTGTACACCAAAGAATCTGTAAAAATCAATAGTTTTTTTTACATGAAGATAATACAAAGGCAGGTTACTCAGCAGAAAAGAGTAAAAAAAACAAATTTATTTAGCCAAAATTTTTACTATTTACTTTTCCCGTATGGAGTTGCTAGATGCATCATTGCAACACTTCTGCATTTTTTCACTAATGGCATACATTTGGTCTGAACGTCTTTAGGCTGACAAGTAATGAATGTTGCGTTATAAATACCATTCAAGGATTTTAGTTCTTCAGCTGCATCAATGTCGTGTTGCAATGTATTCAGCCCAATAACCTTATCACATTTCTGTAATGAAGTATAAATTTAGACTTATTTATTATGTTACCTCGCTTTTTTGAATTTCAAATAACAAGTTTACATGAGACAACATAAGGCTCAGTGCACCAAAATTGCATCCTATATCGATCAATGTGGTTTCATTACAAAGTTGTAGGAACTCAGTCATGAGTAATCCCAATTGTATTGCCTCTATGGAATTGAAATTGATATTCGTTTTTGGAGTATATTTCATTGTTATTGGGCCAACTTTATCTCTTAATTCCAAGCAGCCACTCAAAAATGTTGGGGGCATACTTGTTTTCTTCTGTGACCTGGAAAAATCTACTTTTGTTATATCAACTTACAGCTAATTTAACAATAAACAAAAATTTCTTTTCAACATACCACTTTAAATTTAAGCAGTACAATGATACAACATTACATGCCCTACCTGGCCCATGATTAAAAAATCTTTTCATGTGGGGTATTAGTGGTCTAATAGCCTTACCACAAACTGTTAATTGTAATTCACTTTTGTAATTACTTCTTATTTTAATATAAGTCCACGTTGGTCTTTCTTTGACAGAGTTGACGTCACCATCATGATATGCATGTAAAGATGTGTCTCTGGATGCCTCGTCAGCAAATTGTTGAAACACCTTAATTATGCAAAAAATGTTTAATTTACTTTTTACGTTAATTATAATGATTAAATTGAATGTAAGTTTTTATGGACAAGCACCTCTACGGTCCGCATTATGTAAGCCGGAAATTCACTCTCAAAAATATTATTACTTTTTGTTGAAGTAGATGTACCAACATGTTCAAGTACTAAAATTTCGCAATCAACTGTGTGAGCATGATCTTTTATTGGTGCACTACACTTTTTTATGCCTATAATTTATTATTTTCTCTGAATAAATAAAGTAAAACCTTTTTGGCAAATGTTTTTAAATAATAATATAATATTGGAAACTAACAATTGAATCTCCAGTAATTTGTCCATGGTTTTTTTAAAGATGGGTGTCTTGGAGGATCTAGTTGACAAAAAGGACTATTATGGTCTTGCTCCATTCTAGTGATGGTTTCTCGTACATTTGAACTAACCATGCAAACAATGTTACTCAAGTCACTTAGCCGATTTTTTGCCTCTCTAACTTTTTTCTGAATCTGAAATATACAAAATACAATTATTCCATGACCACTAATGGACATTTTTTTTACAAAGAAAATTATTGTGGTATACAAGTACGCTTTGATGAATGTACATACCATTTCGTTGTACCAAGAAAATGTTTCACTTATATCTTTATCTGATTCATCAGGAAAGTCATGATAATAATCTTCGTACTGTTCATTCTTGTTATCAAAGTCATCTGCATTGTCTTCTGCTTCTGATGGTAGAACACTACCTTTTGCAAGGTCCTGCTCCTCTTGATCGAGCAGTGCATTGATTCTGGCATCGAATTCCCGATCTACATGACTTGCGTCATCAATGGGCCCAAGCATTGACTCATTGGAGTCATCCACTCTGTAGCCTCTATCATGGTTAGGACTGTAGTTGTCCCTTTCCTTATAATAACTCATATCTTAACTGTAGACTTGAAAATATCCAATACTAATGCACAACTGTTAACTAAACTGTAAAAAACATTTAGAGGATTAGGTTCATTTTTCTTTCTGATACTGTGGTATTTGTTCATGTGTTCTCAACACTGCCAAAATTTTCAAGAATACTTGGCTGGCTAATTGATTTATATACGGAAATGAGATGTTAAATAGATTGTATGAAACGATTCTTTCACACGTACCTATTGGCAAGGCGTAATTATAATGCGTATTGTTTGTAAAATCAGCTCAGGCATATTATCATAACTAAGTTGTTACATTAGTTCTATACCGAATACTAATACTTATTATTTACCCGATGTCCAAAAATTTTTTCACTAATTGTAAATGATTAAGCAGCACTTGGTAAGTTTCTTCTCCCTTGCAATTGTTTGGGATCGAATGGTTTTGACGCCACTGTCCATGCACGTTATCTGCTTGCTACACTTTTGTTTCTGCCTGCTTATATAGCCGCCCCAAGTAACACTGAATTTATACTCTACTTTGTACTTACTTACGTTGTTTTGTGATCTTCGAGTCGAGAGTCGAGAGTCGTCGAGAATGTGTGGTGTTGCAGACGGTGCCGTTTCCTAAATGCCTGTCGCCACGTAAAACCGCGCGTGTTGTCGTATTCAGCGCACAAAGTATTAATACAGGGATTCGGCTAACTGATTGGAAAATACACTCGTCACTCACGCACAAAACACACTACTTTTATTTCGACATTTTTATACGTAGCAAAGCACAACTTATGATAATTAGTTACATATTAGCCAGGTACTTCATCTCTTCTCGCAATTTCATGCAAAGTATGGCGAACCTTAAATTCTACACCCAACGCGCAATCACAATAGTAGGTACTTAATAATATCCAAGTTTAGAGAATGCATACCTATATATACTGTATTGGAGGGACAGGGACAGCCTGCTTAGCTGATAGCACTAATTAGGTACTGATAGCAGTGATAGCTCTCACGCGCAGTGATAAGATGCTTTTGTGGCTTCATTTTTATCTTGACCAAAAGGCGTGTCTTATGTACAAACCTTCTTACTCAGCCGGTAAAGTCGCTCAAGGTCATTCAAGGCCACCCAGCATGACCTCGAGTGACCCTATCATTCTGTATACGTGAAGATGGATATTTCTCAACGCTGGGTGACTCGTCGTGATTCATCAAACGAGCTGAGCGCGCACCTAATAGCAAATTTTAAGGTTAAAACGTATTGCATCGTATTACGTAAACGCATTGGGTATTTATTGGGTTCCGGTCGTTCCGGAAATGAAATGAAATTTATTTTCAAAGTTAGCGCCATCTAGCGTGTGATTTTTCTCGTCGCTCATAGACCCTACTGACGTTTTTTTTTTGGCCTGCGAAGAAAAGCACAACTCAGATTTCGCCGTTCAAAATGACATGGAGAAATCTGAGTTGTGCTTTTTTGTCTGCTTACAAACTTGCTATATTCGACGGGGCCGGATACCTTACGGACGTTTTTTTGCTTCGGGCGTCATCGGGCTTCATCGGTAGCCTTCGCTTATATGTATGTATTTCAATCAGCGCCATCTAGCGTGTGATTTTTCTCGTCGCTCATAGACCCTACTGACGTTTTTTTTTTGGCCTGCGAAGAAAAGCACAACTCAGATTTTGCCGTTGAAAATAACACGGAGAAATCTGAGTTGTGCTTTTTTTGTCCCCGTAAAACTGGCTATATTCGACGGGCCGGATACCATACGGACGTTTTTTTTGCTTCGGACGTGATCCGGTGATCGGGCTTCGTCGGTGGGGGCGACCTTTTCTCTTGAAGATCACACCCGAAGCGAAAAAACATCCGTAGGGTATCCGGCCCGTCGAATATAGCCAGTTTTACGGGGACAAAAAAAGCACAACTCAGATTTCTCCATGTCATTTTAAACGGCGAAATCTGAGTTGTGCTTTTCTTCGCCGGCCAAAAAAAAAACGTCAGTAGGGTCTATGAGCGACGAGAAAAATCACACGCTAGATGGCGCTGATTGAAAATAAATTGGATTTTAGATAAATTAGATTAGATTAGATGAGAGTTATACCTATGGCATTGTAATTTGTATCTATAGGTTATGAAATAAAGAAAAAAAATAGTGTCGTGGGTATGGAAAGTTTTGTTTGTGTGTCACTCCGTGTCCCTTGATAACGATGAACTACTTGATAATTGATTAAAAATTGAATTTGACAACAATTCTTATCAGCATTATTGTAAGAGCTGTTATGTAAATTTCTATACCAACATAATTATACACTATTGTTCACGGAAATGAAATGTTTACCGAGAACCCCTTTAAATTCACATGGCAGTCAAAACACTGATAATACAGGAAAACCCAAAGTGACGGTACCTCCGATTAGTATTCAAGCTTTGCCACTGCATTTTTATACTCGATTGAAATCATTAATGCGAACCTCGTTGCGACGGCCACGACTTAACGGTACTACCCCACCTATGCACCTATACCTCTCTGGAGTATATACATGCATAAGTTATGTACGTGTTACTTATTATCAACGTGTACCAAAATCAACGTATGATTGATATCATAAGTACCTACTCTTGGAAAAAACATATGAAAAAAACAGCCGCTGCAGAAATTGTGGGACGTGAAATTGTATAATATACATGCGTTGCAGTACGTGACGCCTCGCACCCATGCAAGCACGAAAATCACTTAGATGTTTTAGAATACCGTAGCAATGGGAGTTTTTTTTCATAATATACACAGAAAAGTATGCTGGTATCGATAACATTTTGGTTTAATTTTAATTTCGCTAGTTGTCATTCGTTAGGATATTGATGCATTTCTGTGTACCTTCAACATTTGTAAAACGGACACGTTTTTGCACGTTTTTTACAGGCAGCGGGGCAAGTCGCGATGAAACAAGTAATATTATATGTGAATTCGGAACTCGCGAGAAGCATTGTTTTGAACTGTACTGTTACTAAGGACTGTTGGGTGTTGGTTACAAAAAAGAAAAAAAAAAATTATACGCTTGGTTTATTTTAAGCAACAATGCAATTAGTCTTTTGCTTTCGAGTTTCGCTGAAGAACGATTTGTTAGATCGCATTTGTCTAACTCATCATGCAACGAAACAAAATTAATTGGATTTTGAATGTAATGATGTAGCGATACGTACTCAATTACGCAGTATTGTCTGGAAAAATTTTGAATTTTTTAGTGCAGGAAATTAAATATTCCAGACTATAACTACGAAGGACTATCATGACATGTATGGTTATAATATTTTTATGTTACATCACAAGTACCTATGAGTAAGTGTAATCATCCGTCACTGGCACTGGCAATCATCATCATCATCATCTCTCTGAAGTATTAGAACTGCAAGTACCTACGCGCAATCACCAATTCGAAAACAATGCAACCTAGAAATAAACGCCCCCGCGAGTTCGTTGTCTCGTAAAAAGGAACGATATCCGAGTGCCCGTTCAGACGAGAGAGCTAATCAATTCCCAATAACATCCTCGATTGACATTTCCTCTTCCTCCTGCTCCATGGGAGCTTTAAAGTGGTGTCGGCGGTGGTGAGCCCTGATGCGACCTTCCGCCTTGTATAACGCGCGGAAAGCCATTTCCTCCGTGATTTATGCAAAAGCTGTGCACAGATACTTTTCGCCCGCCTCTGCTAGACAGGTATGTAGGTATATCCCGTCTGTCTCTCATAAAATTAGCAACGAAGGACGATCCAAAGCGATACCTAAAATATCGCGGTGTAGACTGTCACCGGGTTTTTTTTTTTTTCCACGATACGAGTATAATTTTAACCGACGATTGTGTTTGCGAGCCGAAAAAGTATACAAGTACCTGATGCATAACTCGACAGTTTTCGACAGACATCGTTGAAAATAACCACCCGAATAATAGAAAATCAATGAACATCACCGGAATGATGGCCTCTTTTTTATACCCGACAACTGTAATGACTTTTTTCTGCTAAAATGGCACAAATGGCACAAATGGCACACACTCCGTGCAATAACTCAATCGATCGTGAGTATCTTGTAAACCCTTCCCTAAAAAAATCGCCGCTCCTCGTAAGACCCACCCAAGCGGTACCATCACCATCCCCCGTGCTCATTTTAACACACACACGCACACACATCGCCCGATCTCGTTCCCTCCCTAATTTTCGACCATCCATTTTTCCTTGAATGGACTGCAATGTACTCCACCCACGCGTATATCACGCAGATTCGCTCGTAGTATATAGCCCGAGGTCGTTGGGGCGTGTATATACAGTACACACTCGCGCCGGATCGATCGGGCGAGGGGGCGGATATTCTTCCCCTCCCTGCCGCCGCGACTAGCCAAGAGAGGAGGGGGAGGGAGGGAGGGAGTCAACGAGCGGTCGTTCATTGAGCGGCTCTCGCGGGCTGAATGAAACCAGGGCATCCAGGGGCTCGCTTCCCTCCCATTCAAGCCGCCCCCTCCAACGGGTCGACGCCCGCGGCTTCCGTCCGTCCTTATGACTTCCTCGAGCGCCCCCTCCCCTC